TGGAGGGGAATCACGAGAAGCACAATCGAAGAACGTGTAGGAAACGCGTACGGCATTTGTTTCGGAGCGGAATCGAATGACGCGTCGAAGCGCACATCGAAATGCACGCTAAAGCTTTGCAGGCTGAATTGCGCACCGAATTACGCATCCAGACCCGCGTGAATCGTGCACTTCGGCTTCGGATTCGGCGGGCGCAAGCGTGTGCTTCGGCCAAGCATTTGAATCGTACGCAAGGTTCACAGTCGAATCCCGCAAAAAGGTCGTTCACATAACGAGCACCGAATTAAAATAAAGAGAAAAAAATAAAGAGAAAAAAAAAGAGAAAAAAAAGTGCGCGAACATCGCGCTCAGGGTTGAACCGACGACTTGGTGGACAGACGGAGAGACGGAACGACGGACAGACGGACGCCGGATCGGCCTAAGGCCTCCGCTTTCCTACTTCGTAGGAGCTACGGCGAGGATTCGACTGTGAACCTTGCGTACGATTCAAATGCTTGGCCGAAGCACACGCTTGCGCCCGCCGAATCCGAAGCCGAAGTGCACGATTCACGCGGGTCTGGATGCGTAATTCGGTGCGCAATTCAGCCTGCAAAGCTTTAGCGTGCATTTCGATGTGCGCTTCGACGCGTCATTCGATTCCGCTCCGAAACAAATGCCGTACGCGTTTCCTACAGGTCCGTTCTTCGATTGTGCTTCTCGTGATTCCCCTCCTCACTACGCGGAAATACTTTCCAGCAACGAGCACCGAATTAAAATAAAGAGAAAAAAATAAAGAGAAAAAAAAAGAGAAAAAAAAGTGCGCGAACATCGCGCTCAGGGTTGAACCGACGACTTGGTGGACAGACGGAGAGACGGAACGACGGACAGACGGACGCCGGATCGGCCTAAGGCCTCCGCTTTCCTACTTCGTAGGACCTACGGCGACGGACAGACTAGAGCGCGCTGTTCGCGCGAGAGGGCCGTAGCTCCGTCGTTGAATCGCGCGGGCCACTATATGCTGTTTTGCTGAGGGCCGTATCGGTCACACACACAACACAACAAGTATATATATATACGAAGGCGGAAGGAGGCTGAGCTTGCAGAGGGTAGCCCGCGCTGAAGCGCTCGCGCGGGACTCGAACCCGCAGGGGGCTCCACACAGACATTGATGGGCAGTTCCCCATTCCTTCCCGTAGGGAGCGAGCGTGTCGTCCGGGGTATTCCCCTTACCCCGGACGCTGTCATTTAACGCCGTACAGTGGCGGGTCGTGGCTTCAACTGTCAACTAGCCTTGTCAACTGTCAACTAGCGGGTCCAGCGGGTTTCCAACTGGCGTGCATGCTGGAACTCGGTGGTGTACCGCTGCTCCGTTTCGCGTGCTGCCTGCTTCAGCAGGCGCAGGTTGGCGGCCAGATCCGGCTCGAGCTTGGTTGCGCTGAGGAATTGTTTGATGACCTTCTTGCGCTCGTGTGGCGTGGTATAAAGTGGACGTAGCAGACGGACGTGGTCCAACGTCTTAAAGCGGGTCAGCAGCACATACAGGGTGGCACGCTGGCGGGCAGGACTTGTCGATGGGCGGAGGTGCACGGCCATGCTGCCGGGCCTCTTCGACGGTCATGTCCATGACGCAGTGTTCTGTTCCGTGGACGAAAGGGTCATAGTACGGCGAGGGATACCACATGGCGCACAGTGCGTATGCAAGGGCCAGCGCTCGGCAGTTGGGTCCGTTGAACAGTGCCTGAAGACGCTCGACTGCAAATGCGGCCACATGTGCGACACCGTGGATGTGCAGGGCAAGGCGGCCGCTCTGTTCCACCTTGACCGCCACCTCAAACGTGAGCCCGCAGAAGCAGTGCGGGTTGGTCTGCTGCATGGCGCCTGGCGCAAACCCAAAGAGCTCTTCCACCAGAACCTCCTTGGTGGCCACCAGCAGAGCGGCGCAACTGTACGGGTCATCCTTCACACGCCGCCACTTTTCCACCGTGCTCGGGATATGCTGCGGTCGTCCGTCATCGTCGAAGTCCAACACCTGTCCGGATGCCACGACTGCACAAGCTGCATGCATATCTGCCGGATTAACGGTGAAGAACAGCGGAGGCCAGCCAATGGTGAGGGCGGCTGCACGCATTTTGGAGCGGGCGCCGTTGTAATATGCGTCCGTAAGGTCGAGGCGCAAAGTACTGAGGCGGGCCCCCTCCACCAGCGCCTTAACCAGCGGTGATTGCTGTGTAAGCAGCTGCCGCCGCTGCGAGTGCCGATACGGCAGCGCCAGTATGGTGCCCATAGCACGGATGACATCACGCGGCACACGCGCCGCTGGTTCACCAAGATGCGGCCGCATGTTCATGGTAATTCCCACCTGCGCCATGCTTTCGTGGCGCACGCAGATGTCGTACATGCGTGCCAGCAGCATGAGGTTGCCGCCGAATTGCGTCCGCGGCACGCGGTGCAGTAGGTGGCGACAATATGCCGGAAAAGACATGCCGCGGGGGCGCTGACCAGAAAAGCCGTATGGGAAGGACTGGGGGAAGCAAAGGGTGAGGATGGCGGGATGACGGTCATCCAGCACGTGGCTGTCACGACCACCAGCCGCAAACGCAATCCGTGCGCGGCCAGTCAGAAGGTCCTCCACTCGGCCTGGGAAGCGGTCGATTTCACTGCCATCATCACCAACATTCGACGGCTGCGGCAGGATCAGCTCCAGTTCGTCCAGAGTGGCAGCTGCCGGATCAACTGCATGATCAGACGACAGATGCACAAGAGCTGGGTCAGAATGCACGATGTGGCAGGCAATACGATCAGCCAGCATGGTACACGCGGCGGTAGACGCAGCACACGGCGTGTACATATGCTGGACAGAAGTGAAATCGAATCGCCTCAGACACGAGCGAAAACGCGTTTAGCCCTATGGGCAGCCAAGTGAGAGAACGCACGCACCTGGTGGACCTTCAACTGGCTGATCAGCAGG